TGGGGGTCCAAACAGACCAGAGGGTTCTTCGTCAGCTTATTGTTCAGTATCTGCCAGCTCTGGATCGCCTTCTGCAAGAGCATGACATAGGTAATCATGGATACAATCTTTATTGAAGCATACTTGAAGGTTTGTATGCACAGTTTAATACTTGCTTTTTATTCACGCAGAGCTGTCGTTGTTAACACTACACTGGTTCCTGACATCGTTTGCCAGTGTGGTGGACATCCGTCTGCTCCTAAGGATCTGGGATCTTCTCTTTTATCAGGGCTCAGTGATCCTCTTCCAGATAACACTGGGGATGCTCAAAATTCAGGTAGGGTCTTCATCACCAATTCACTGCTTCTTGACAGTTTCTTACTAAACTATAGATAAACTTAGAAGAAAAGCTATTAAATCCATCAGATACTAGAAAACCATTACTGCTAGAAATACTCTTTTAAAAACCTTTTCGGCAGTGAAAATTAATATTATTGACAGAAGTTGCTCCTGTTGAGTATTAACCTCTCTGAAATTGCCTCGACGACTCCAGGAAGAAGAGCTTGTATCTTCAGAGAACTCTGCATCCATATTTAACTCTCTGTCAGACTTGCCAAGTCAGCTGAGAGATGGGCCTGCGGTTCTCGGAGAAGCTATGAGGCTGGCAGGGAACTTATCCCAGGAAACTCTGGAAGCTCACAGACACAAACACCTTGCTTATATTCTGAACGAACAGGCACAGCTCAACAATGGAAACAACGCGACACTCAGCACCAATCTCAACAAGGTCAGCTGCAGTTATTCTGCTCAAATTTCAGACTGAATAAGTTTTGATAAGTAAATGCTTACAAACTGAATAACGAAAATATTATTAAGGCTAAAGAGACAAAATAAATTCTTGTTTTGTATATGTTTAGGTGGTGAGAAGACAGTCTCTGCGCAGAAAATCTACGCTGACGTCTCTGTTATTTGGGGAGGATGAAGCAGAAGCCCTGAAATCCAAGAATATTAAGCAGACAGAGTTGGTGGCAGCCCTGCGAGAGGCTATAAACCGGACGGCTGAGCACTTCCACTGTCTTGACCCTCATCATTCCAACACAGTGGGTTCATACACTGCAGCACATGAACCACCGTTATGTTCTTTTGTGAAAGACATTAAAAGAAGCGTACTTGAATGTTCTGACATTTTAGGCTTTAGTTTATTTTTTACACTCTTAATGAATTTACTGATACCTTCTCTCCTATCTTATTAGGACTTAACCCCAGATTACTCAATGGAGAGCCACCAGAGAGATCATGAAAACTTTCTTGTGGTTTCTCGTAACCGAAGGAGACGAGCCAAAGCTTTGTTGGACTTTGAGCGTCATGATGATGATGAACTGGGCTTCAGAAAAAATGACATTATCACTGTGAGCGAAGACCTAACACTCAAAAACAACACTGCTTTTGCTGTCGTGTATTTTGTACACACAGCATGTTTTATAGTGTTTTTGTTTCTTATTTCACCAAATGTTTATGTTTTAGATCATCTCTCAAAAAGATGAACACTGTTGGGTTGGTGAGCTCAATGGTCTTCGAGGTCTGTTTATCTTATTTTATTAACATTTTAAAGTTGCAAAATGAGTTTTCTGTAGTGTATTTTACAAGTATTTTTTTTTCTCTTTTGCTACAAGGTTGGTTTCCGGCTAAGTTTGTGGAGATTCTTGATGAAAGAAGCAAGGAGGTATAACCTTTGACCTTTGTATTTCCACAGATTTGTCTTTCTTTTCTCAGACTTCAGACCATGAACTTGACACTGACTGGTGTGTCTGTCTCCAGTACTCATTAGCAGGTGACGACTCTGTGACGGAGGCAGTGACTGACCTGGTCAGGGGAACTCTGTGTCCAGCTCTGAAAGCCATCTTCCAGCACGGATTAAAGAAGCCGTCTATACTGGGTGGACCTTGTCACCCGTGGCTATTTATTGAAGAGGTCGTTTATTTCTTTAGGATCCTGACACCATATTTTATTTTTTATTTGTAAAATTTAAAATTGTCATTTACATTTCTACTTTTTGCTTTTCCTTTTAGGCAGCTAGTAGGGAAGTGGAGAGGGATTTCAATTCTGTGTACTCTAGACTCGTGTTGTGTAAAACATACAGGTAAATCATACACAGCATGTATTTTTTATTTTTTCTAATCACCTAAACATTCACTTCTCGAAGCARTTCAGTTGACCTTTATTTGCAAAGAATGACACATAATTAAAACTGTGTTGTTGTTGTTTTTTATGAAAGATGAAAAATTATTTACTTTCTTTAGAATATGTTTTACAAAATTAAAATAATGGAAACAACCTGTTTTTGTTTTTACCTTTCACCAGGTTAGATGAAGATGGAAAGGTTTTAACACCAGAGGAGCTGCTATACAGAGTGAGTAAACAATTAAAKGCATTTATTTTAGTTTAACAGAAGTGTGAGAAAATGTGACGTGTTCCATTTAATGCTTGATTTGTTTACTAATTATCCTTGAAGCCTAATAAATAAATAAAGTAATTGGCACCACCTCTTATATGTTCCCAGGCAGTGCAATCGGTCAACATGAGTCACGACACAGCACATGCTCAGATGGACGTCAAGTTCAGATCGCTTATCTGTGTTGGCTTAAAGTGAGTTTCTAATACACATTTATATTTGTAGTACGAATCACATTTGAGCTGTGTAAAATAAGGTTTTATTTTATTTATTTTTTTTAATCAAATTGCACCTGTCTTTTCAGTGAGCAGGTGCTGCATCTGTGGTTGGAGGTGTTGTGCTCCAGCATGGCTGCTGTAGAAAAATGGTATCACCCGTGGTCATTCCTTCGTAGTCCTGGATGGGTACAGATCAAGTGTGAGCTCAGGTACAAGACAAATCCTATTAAAGTGACTAATAATAATCAAATGTTATAAGCTTTTTTTATAAGCAGTTAAGTTTTGGGCTACAAATAATTTATGTATTTCCCCTGTATCTAAATGTGGAAAGCAGTTTTATACATTTATAAATGGACTTAGGTGAATAAATTAGGTATTATCAAGTAGATAAAGGTGCTATATTTTTCTATTTTTTTACCTAAAATTGGAAAGGTTGAAATCACCTAATGGAAAAATGACATTGTTTGATTGCCTGACTTTTTAACACCATAAATAATCCAAGAATAACATTATTATATATAAATTGAGCTTTAAGGGAATAAAAAAAAAAACAGCAAATTGTTTTATTTCATCACTTCTCTTGTTTCCTCAGGGTCCTGTCAAAGTTTGCCTTCAGTCTCTCTCAAGATTGTGAGCTGCCCGACAAGAAAGAGGTATGTCAAAGAGAYGGATGCAGTACAAATTCTGTTATTGACACAAGACCACATTTTGGATTTTAGGAAAAAATGTTTGACTTTGGCATTTCAGAAATCTRCTAATCTGAAAGCAGAAGTTATGGATGTGCTGGTTCAGCATCACCTCTTTAGTTGGGATCTCTAGGTAATATATTATGTAGTGAAAGTGGTAGAATAGTCATTAGTTAAAGCCAGTTCATAATTTATGCTTGTTTTCAMAKCTTTTTATKTAAGTTTCATTTGTCTCGGTTCATAAAAAGCCTTGTAGAACAAAGCAAATTAGAAAAAAACAGYAGTGCTTGTTATTCTAATGGCCAGACTTTTGCAGGGCTTCTGCAATAGAAAAAGAAACCCATTGTTGGATATTTATGTAGCATCTTCAATAAGACATCTTTATTTTTKATTTTTGTAAAAGGAAATGAATAAGGATCATAGCATGACAATGATCTCCATCCAGACTTTGTTTCTGCTTTGCTTTTTTTTATTTATTAAATATTTTTTACAATTCTTTAAAGGTACTCGTTGTATCCAATATGATTTTCTCATTTTCAAATTTAATTGTTTTCTTTTTTTTTAGGAAAAGGAGCAGAAACCACTGAAAGAAGGAGTGCAGGATATGTTGGTGAAACATCACCTGTTTAGCTGGGACATCGATGGCTGAACACAGCAGAAATGTCTCAATTTAACCCGTGTGGTGGATTCTGTATATTTATCTGTTTAGCTGTTGTTTACAGCTCAAAACTTGAACACTAGTCTTTGCTAAAGCAGGTAGCCACTTCAGACCTTTTTTTTTCCTCGTCTGATTCGGCCAGTTGACACCCAATGACTGAAACGCTACAGAACTTTGTGATGCATGGGTCCATTTTTCTGCATACTTTGTTTTATTTGTCTTCTATATGAGACGTCACTACAGATTTTGAACATATATGCACATGTAAAACATTCCTCTTGTACAGAAGTCTGTACTACTGTGTCCCATTAGTATCAGTTTCTTTATTTCTACTTTTTTCCGCATGGTCTCTTATGCTTTAGTTTCTAACATCAACCTAAAATATATATTTTGTTAAGGTCTGAAATTCCTCTTGAGCCAACAATGGAACATTCCAAGTTATGATGTAAAGAAGCTATTTTTGAGAATAATGTTACTTATTCAATATCCTCATTATCATTAAATCTTTCATGTTAAACATCTGTAATGTTGCACTTGCCGAGTAAAGCCTTTTCAGATCATGATAAACTGCATGTCTGCTACCTTAATAATGGTAGTTAAATAAAGCACTTGTATTATGTAAATTACACAAAGACACTTCTGTGTTGTGTCAATATATCTTACATAAAAATATGATCTATTCTTTGTGATTGTATTTCTTGGTGCTCTGCCTTTTATTTCTTGTAAAAAAAATTCATGGATTAAGGTAGAACTTATGATTTTTTTATTAACAGACAAGTATGCTCAAAGATGGATTCTGATACAAAAATGTTTTGCAACTGAAGCTCTGCAGTTGGAAGTATACAGAAAAAAWTTAGAAAAAAATGGTTATGTGAAAGTAAATTTCACCAGAATGTTTCTCTGCATTTACCTAGTTTTTATAGCTGAGAGTTTATCTCTTATAATATTCTTGAATCTAACTACCCAAAGTTAAATTGCAAAAACAAAAGGCACAAATTGGAAAAAGCTGCTTTGTTAAAGTATTTATTTGTGGTCCTCTTTGCAGCAGAGTGTTTTAAAATGCCACATAGAAACACCAACAGGCCATAACAAATAGGGTACTAGAGTCACAAGTACTGCAATATATGAACTGCTGCAGTGAGAAGGTTTTTTTTTCCCTTTTTTTTTTTTTTTTTTTTGCTTGTATGAACTCTACTGGGACAAGATTTGAACATGAACTGACAATGGTAGCATGATAGATACTAAGTCTAAGAGCGCAAGTGAGATTCGAAAGAGTCCAACCATCCAAGAGTAAATATTCTGCTAAATAAATAACTGACGGGTAAAATAATGCCATAGCTTAATTTTTCTAGCTAGTTTTTGAGTTCTCGATGCCCCCTGCTACATTCATTTCTGACTTGCATACATTTTGCACAATGTCATCCTTCCGGTTAACACAACAGCTAAATTACAATATAAATAGAACTGTAACTGGAAGTTCACAGGGAATGYATGAGGAAATTTAGATTATAGCTGCTCATATCAGTCTTTCAGTTAGATAAATTAAAYCTGTTGAGTGAGGCTAACTTAAAAAAAAACCACACTACTCTAAACCCAAACTGTTACAACTATTCCAAAGGCAGTTGACATTAAAATGCATAAATGTCTGCTTTTTGTTTGAAGTGTTTCCCATAAAAACAAACAAAAAAAAAMCACTTGTGTAAAAAGGCAAGGAATAACAAGGAATAGAACGTTCTTGCTCTTAACACATCTATCTTCCATAGTTTTTCATTGTTTGTAGAATGAAAGCGAGTGACGTTTGCATGAAAATGATGATTTATTTAACTGTTTCCTGTTCCTGTTGAAGGTGCTGCTATCGAGTTGGCAGTGCTGTTTTGGCCTTTTCCTTTGTGCCTCTGGCCRCCTCTTCTCCTTCCACCACCTCCAGACTTTGGCTACAAAAAGACAGAACACAGGCTAATGAATAGGCAACACATCATAGACACTTTCAAACCCAAACACAGGCACCTATCGGGTAAGAGAACTGTCAGAATCATTGTATGTGTAAGAGTCTAAATTTGTACATGTAAGTCTATAAACGTACATAAGTTTGGTACAACTTTGCCACATTACAAGTACGAAYCAAATTTACAAGTACAATTCTTAYGTGAGAATACAAGTTTTTAAGTTACAAATWCAAGTTAAAAAGTTACAACTTTGCCACATTACAAGTATGAATCATTTACAAGTACGAATCAAATTTACAAGTACAATACTTTTACCTGTCAAAATAAGACATTATGCATGGAACACCGAAAAGATCGATTGCAAACAGTAACTAAGCCAGACCACTAGGGGGACATGACCACTGCCTCATTTGGGACCAGATGAACTCTTTACAAACACAACAGTTTGCTGAAGGGAAAAGCATTTGGAGGCTTTTCAGTTTGTCATTCATGTCGTGTAATACAACAATAAGTAGATAGTGGATTTATGATGAACAACCAAAGAAGAAAGCTGATTTATTCATAAAACCGACTGCATAACCCCTAAACAACTGTAAGCTAAACACTTTTTACTTTTAATAGTAGTTTGTATTATTTATTTCACATTTGGTACACATAGTACTTGTCAGTGTTTATAAGAGGATGTGTTTAAACAGTTTCTATGCTGAAAGTAGAGCTTCGTTGATTGTTGTTGTTAGCATGGTGTTAGTGTTAGCATGATGATAATTTATGTACGTTTATAGACTTAYATGTACAAATTTAGACTCTTACACATACAATGATTCTGACAGTTCTCTTACCCCATAGGCTTCTCCCCACATTTTTCAGACCTACACAGACCATACAACTGGCCTTTTGACTCAACTGGGTGGTTCCACACGATCGCTCTTATTTCATCTACACGTTACCTTGTTTTCTTTGTTGCCCTCCTTTATTTGAGGGTCATCATCTCCCTCTCCCTTTGGAAGGCAACCACGTAAGCAAAGGAGAAGCAGAGAGTGCAAAGAAGCGATGTGACACAATGAAAGTTCGAAAAGAAACCAACAGATGACGGTTAATGAATAAGGTGTTGAACAAGAAAAGAGAAGACAGAATTAGGGAGTTAGATCAAAAGAGGTGAATGAAAAACAAGATATTTAAAGACGGGGCTTAATGCAGGATCCTAACAGTTGTGTTCATTGACTCACCAGTTGTGATGTGTTTGGACCCGCTGGCTGTGCTATTGTTGCTGCGTCCTCACCRGCTGCCAAGGTACCATCCTCTTTTCGGAGCGGCGTCTTTTTTGTGGACTGCATTTTGATTTGTGGGGGCTTGGAGTTGGATGGTAAATTATTGGTGGAGTGTAGCAGCTGGGGAAAAAAATCTTTTTTAATGGCTAGCAGAATTTTAACTAGATATTAAGTGGAGTTTTCTTGAGAAGGTGACCCTCCTAGTAATCGTCCAATCATGGCAGAATTCTTTATAAAATACTGTGTATTAGAATAACTTTAACAAGAGCGTAAGAATCTGGGACAATATTTTATCAGAACAGCCTACGAACAAAATCCCCAAATCAATGCATCTCATCTACCTTAGTGATGGTCCCTACAGCTTTGGTGCGGCCCTCCCGGAACACCAGCCTCTGGTCACAGTGCAGATACTCAGGGGTTTTGATGAAGCGGAAATGAACGGTAGCTTTGTCCCCTGTCCGTAAGCAGTCTCTGCTCATGGACAAGATGGTGGCTGTCTGTCTTATACTGCCGCAGTGGACTGGTCATTGCATAAGATGAGATGAAAACAGGAACAGATTATTGCAGATTACAGACAGCTCTTCTCTCTTTGTGTTGCTGTTACCCACCCATGGCCTGATATCTGGGGGATATCGTAGTGGGATGATGCAGTACAAGGATTTCAGCCTCAAACTCCCAAGTTGCCTGAGGGTTTAACTTTGGGGACACCATCACCATGCCTTTCCTTATGGTGGAGCGCTTTATCTACAAAAAAACAAAATATAAGAGCAAAACACATTTCTGATACGGTTTAAGAATTGAGGTAAACTTGCAATCCCAATGCTTGTCATCCCACCAGAAGACAATGGGACACAGACCCTCTACCTTTTTGAGAGCAAACGAGGCAGTCTGGCCTCCTCGAACCTCCTTAACAGGCATCCTTTTGCGATGGATTGATTTCACAGCAATGGGGATGAAGCTACCAAGAGGATCTGGACCAAGCAGCATGGTGTCGTTCAGACGAATGAGTCCACGTAAAGTAGTCCCTGACACTACAGTTCCCACTCCCTGAGACGAACAGAGCAACACTTGAAGTTCAGTGAGMTGTGGGAGGTAAGAAGTACAAAACAGATCTTTGTGGTCAGCGTACCGGTACGGAGTAGGTGTCGTCTATCTGAAACTCGGCGGGCTGATCGTCCCTGTAGGACGTCCGGGAGGAGAGCAGGTTCAGGAACATTTTTAGCAGGTCCATGTTCTCCCCTGTCACATTGGAGATCTGAAAAATGGGACACATTCTGGAAAGACACAAAATAACCAACATTATAATTTAGCCCTTTCAATTCTGACTCCATAAGATTTTAATACAGACTCATTACCTCTCTGAACTGAAGTTGGAAGCTGCAACTATGACGTCATCCTTGTTCTGCACCAAGACAGGAATCTTTCTGCAGCCTGGAGACTTCAGTAACCTTTGAAGCAACTTCAAAGTCTCTGTTAGATGGAAAAGTACGACCAAAAATTGTTTGGCATTTACTTGTTTGCTAAAATGCGTAATTGCAAAAGAAAAACACCACAGGGTCAATTGTGTATTCTGAGAGAAGAGTGGACAAAAGAGAATTCCAGAAGACTAACCTTGTAAAATGTTGGCTGGACACATGTCTATCTTGGTTACCACTACAAAAACAGGCACATTTAGAGCTAAAGCCAAGCCCAGGTGCTCTTTGGTCATCCCCACAATGCCTGCATTACTGCCCACCTGTGAAAAGTAACAAAAATATGTTTTTTTTTAAATATTTGTTAAACTAAGCCTATTTTTATTGCATTTAACGAACAAACATGTTAAATCCAAAGTGTAAATATGTTTTAATTAAAATTATTTAAAAGTAGGAGTTCAAACAGACACAGATAAGATACACGCACACACACAGACACACGCAGACACCTGATCAATGGTGTAAGTGAAGGAACTATACATCAATAACAAAAATGAGGGTATTCAAGTACGGTTTTTCTCAATTTTTGAATTTAAATTTTTTCTGAGGCTTTCTGTCAAATACTAATAAATACCGATTCTAATTATGATAGTAATGTTTCAACTCGTGATTTGTGCACAACAAATCAATCCACAAACACCAGTCACAGGAAAATGTGCATCCACCAGCTGAGCTAACTGTCCCAGGTCACCATCCTACAGTTAACTCGCTGCTCAGATAGTGTTAAGCCATGAAGGTGAGGCATAAAAAAACAAAACAAGAGTTGATTCTTTACAGAGCTACAACTGGTTGAAAATTGTATCACGATAAGTGATTCATATCAGTCAATACTGAGAAATACTGATTAGTTTTTTGTTTTACCTGTTTGAAATAAAGCCCGGGAGGGAAAGAAAATGCTGATTAATCCTGCCAAACTGGTGACATGACCTTCTAACAAAATCCTTTCTAGAAGCTTGGCCTACATCCCCCAGAATGCCATGCAGTTTTGGATCGGACTTGTCTGTTGCAATAAATACAGTATTATTGTTCTATCACCCAGCCCTAAGTGCCATAGAGCTGTATATTCCTGCTTAAAGCAGGAATGATTAGAGGTGAATCTGTTTCTGTGAAGCATATTTAGTAATCTAACTGGGTTACTGAGTTATGCCCATGCATGATTATAGATGTAAGCAAATTAAGAACAAATGAAAATGTCTTATCTAATTATGTGTTAAGGTGGCCTACACATGCAAGAAATTTGTTTTGCATTATCGTGTGGTCCCAAATTTGAACTCATTTTTTCATCATGTAATCCAGACTCGCACAAACATACAAATCTCATTTCTCTTCCTCCTCTAACTTTCTAACCATGAGCATGCAGAAGTCTGGAAGATGTCCTGTCATCCCAAACACGGTGGTCTTGAGGTATTTCTCGTGGCCGGCCAAGTCGATGAAAGTAATGACTTTGGACGACTTCTCACAGATTTTGGTCCAGTCCAAACTGCCTCCGTGGCTGTCGGGCTTGTTCACTACCTGGGCACGGACAAACAAGCATACCAGAAATCACAAATATGACACTCGTTTACATCAGCTCCAGCCAGAAAGAGCTAACTAACTTTACTCTGAGCAGTTCACAAAACGCCAGAATACAGAACTGCAATAGTGTGTGGATTAACCTTTGATAGTAATAAGGATGGATGTTGTAGCCATTGTTCAGAAYTGAAGCCAARATATCAGTTTTGGTGTCAAGTCATGTTGTATTTTTGTTGTCARAGTCTGAACACTAAAAATGAGGGTCCTTCAATATGAAAGTCCCACCTATACCCCCACAACTCACTAACAGCCTGTCATGTTGTCAGTCAAGGATCAACAGAACAGTAGAGCTTTATAACCAGGGTTGCATGTTTTAGTCTGGTCCTCAGGGRAGAACCTAGATTTTCCTTCACTCATTTAACACRTTTATCTAKAGGGGCGTCAGGGCATCCCCCTGTTCTGTTTTATGACTCCTATCAGCTGCAAAGTCTCGAGACATCACGCCAAATCAGTCCACCGAGTTTTTTTTATTTTTTTCACTCTGCATAAATTTTGTAAACAACCTAAGTGGCCGAGGGGCTGGGTGTGTGTCATATAAACATCACAAACTGAACATTTCATGGTTAAATGTCTTGTAGACATGTCCCTCAAATGGACAACACCGGTAGTTTGGTCTTCTGCATCTTCAGCTTTGGTTAAACCAGCTTTCCACACTCTCCAGTCCAACCAGCAAATACC